AAATTCATTTTATAATTCTATAAAAATATTGTTCATAAATTCAAGTTGATAATAATGTAGGAAACAAAATTTCCAGTATGAATGAGTATGAAGTATATAACCCCAGCCCCTTTTAAATCAGTAACTATTTTGTACATATGTATGCATGTATATATAACGTAGTACTCATGAAGGGAAATCATGCATGATTAAGTAAAAGGCTGTACTACCCTTTTAAAGAATAATTTATCTAAATCTATAGTTTTTTGTAAATGGTTATTGCTGATTAGAGAGAGAATCATGGCAGGAAACAAAATGTTGAACTTGAATTAACAATAGTCATAAGAATAAGTATCAGATTTATGGAAACAAAATATAATAGGAATAACATCCTTTGAGAGAGAGAGTAAATGTTTACTTAAATCTATATTTATCCAAAATGGAAACTTTATATTCGAAAAATGGTATCAAATTAGCTTTCCAACTAGAAAATTAACATCAGTCACACACACACATTATAAATATTAATTTTGTGACAACATAAGCCAATTCAACGTTCGAGTAACATAGCTGTAGATGATTAACTGGAAATGATAAATCATCCTTTTGAGTAAAGGTCTCATTGAGACTGAAATAAATGGCTAGAAAGACTTTTGAAAGCATCTCAGACCTTCAAGAATCTTGAGTACGTGTACAGTAACGAAAGGTCGATTGATTAATGAGTTGTTACGATACTGCGTCACCTACTAGAAATAAAAATGAAACTACCATGTTGCTCGTCTATTGTTTAATGTTAAGCCAATTTCTCTCACCATGGTCAAGACGAGCATTTTTTACTGGATATCAAATACTATTTCTTTAGAACAAGATATATCTGACGAATCGGTCCTACTGTGTTTATTCCAAAGAACTAACTATCTCAATACATTTTCTATTGGGATTTATTTTAGATCTCTCTCACAATGTTTTCTCTCTTCTCTCTCTCTCTCGCTCTTTCTATATATATATATATATATATATATATATATACATATATCTTTGTCCCTCACTCTCTGTTACTCTCTCTATCTTAGGCTCTCCCTTTCTAATCTCTCTCTCTGCATTTCTCTCTCTGTGTCTCTATCACTCTCTCTCTCTCTCTGCATTTCTCTCTCTGTGTCTCTATCACTCTCTCTTTGTCTCTGTCTTTGTCTCTCTCTCTGTCTGTCTCTCTATCTCTGTCTCTGTGTCTGTCTCTCACTTGTTTCTCACTTTCTGTTTGTCTGTATCTCTTCATCTCTCTGTTTGTCATTCTCTCTCTCTTTGTATCTCTCTTTCTGTCTCTCACTTTCTGTCTTTCTCTTTCTATCTCTCTCTTTCTTTATCCCTCACACACACAAACACACTTGTACATACGAAGTGGGTCCTATAATAAAAATTTAAGGCAAAATAACACAGTAACATATATATTTAAGAAAATATTTAATTCATTCTATTGACACTAAATGTTCTCTTTCTCTACTCTTTTTATTTCTTGACATATTCTTCATAAACACAGAAACACTTAACACAACACGAGCTTGATCATCCCATAAATTACGACTTGCCAAGTTACTTAAAATAATACTCAATGGTGTTTTGTAATCCTTTCTGATCTCGCAAAGTATTTACCCGCCCAAAAAATATTCAATATAAAATGGTCAATATAGTGACCTTGCAACGGAAACATAATCGTAGTTGGTTTGCCATGTGTAAGCAAAACAGAAAAAATACATTCGATCATTTGATATTCGAAGAATATTATTTTACATTTCATTAAAATCGGAATTAATTTCACAAAATTTTATCGTAATAATTTGATTTCTTAAAAACAATGAATACATACATTAAAGAACGATTACATTATGACCACCTGCTTAATATGAAGCAAGACCACACTTTATCCTAAAGATTATCAACACCTGGCGAATCATTCCCTCGACTGCGAATTGACATATTGTCTGAGTTATCCAAGATTGCCTGAGTGGTACCAAATACTCATCAAATATTGCGCAGTTCTATTGCGAAGTGGTACGGCGTGGCAGCTTGAACTCAGTTTTACAAGTGGAATCACACATGTTCGATTGGATTCATGTCAGACGAATTCGATGGCCTTAACCCTATAATGGGCCAATTATTTCTCTTTATATTTCTCGCGCGCGTTTTCTGTTTTACCAATAATTAAAAAATATCATTTAAGGGAATGTATTTTATTTTGCCAAAATTTATGTTTACCTTTAAATTTCAGGGATGGGAAGAATACTTTCTAAGGAACAATTCACCATCATACAGAAAATTAAATTTAAGGTGGTTATCTGCCATGAAAAGATGAGAAGCATGTTGCAATGTACGTGGGGACATCACATTCTGCACACATGTTAGTGGGTCCTTTTTTCTTGTTACTTTCTGTGACATTTCCTACATCGTCTATAGTTGGAAAACATCTTTCGCAAAGGATTTCCCATACAGTGGCTACGCACATATCTGGAACTACACACTTCTT